GACTGGTGAGAAAGCCATGCTGCGCTGTGTCAGACACATGTCCCTTTGATGTGATATTAAACTCCTGGCGTTTTATGATATCTGTCTTGCATCGGGATCAAGCCTGTGAGAGCTGAGCCAACGTGCGCCAGGAGGTAGCCCAGACAGTCGGATTCAAAGGCATGTCCTTGGGCGGTTCCTTTCATTTGCACAACGTTTTATTGATGCTCAGGCTCGCTTGAACTTAGAGAAAGCGACATTGCCCCACCCTTGCACTTACAACTGCCTGCTGGGCCTCTGGTAGCAAAAATTTAAAAGCTGTACTAGTTATTGCATGTAATGCCCAGCACTGTTGTTCAATGATTCCCCTTCATCAAGGCCAGGTATCCGCTGGAGGCTGCTGCGGAGGCCACCAGCCCTTTGCATCAAAGTGCGGTTCACTTGGACGCTTGCATGGGGCTGCTTTGGGCCTTTCTTTGGGTAAGCAGAATTTAGACTTCAAAAGCCCATGTGGGATGAGCAAAGCAATTCCAAAATTCCACACCCTCACTGATTACAGGCAAAGCCCCAGCCACCTCAACACAGGACATGCAGTGGTATGCGAAAGCCAAATGCAAACCTCACTCATGCAGCTCCAGACAGACAACCTAAACAGCAGCAACGCAAATCATATCCCGCCAAGAATGCCGCAACAACAACCACCAAAAAAGGAAATCGAGGGATATGAAGGCCGTCGCCCAAGTGTCCAATAGCTGCTCCGGCCCAGGGAGTCCAGTCACGAACAGCGGCCCCAGGCTCTGCGTCCTGCAGTTGACGCTGGCTGCTTCGTTTGAGCTGGGTAGCGACACAAAATGACCTCTGCTGGGCAAGTGGTCTTGAGGTCCACAGGTTGCAGGTGTTCATGTTGGATTTCACGCAGAACCGAATTCTTTTCGTGATGGTTTCGCAGGTGCACCATAGGTCCCTCTCAAATGTGAGAATGCTTATAGCTCAACATGTGAACAAATTTCAATGTGGCCCTGTAAGCCTCTTGGCAGCGCAGCGTGCCAGCGGCAAGCGCGGCAGCCACAGCCAGGAGCAGCGGTGCTGTTGCCGCGGCAAGGCGAGGGGCACGGCCGCGAGGTGAAACGCCTTGTTTTTGCCAATTGGCCTTGTGCTTGATCAGCAGCTCTTAACTTTGTCAGCGGAGGTCTTCCCGACACCCAATAATGCAACCGAATCAAATCCGTGTAGCCCTCTTGGCGGCCCCAGAAGCGTGTGGCTGCAAGAATGCCGAGCAGTGCCAAAGCTGATGGCACCGCAGCTGCAAGGCCAAAGGCGAAGGCCCCGATTCCCAGACACAAAGCCACCAGCAGAGCCAGGCCTTGAAAGCATGTACATGTACATGCCTTTGGCTGTCACAAGCTCTTAGCTGAGTACATCGGCTCAACAGCCCTGGCCCTTCCACCATCTACCAAGCCTCTGATTTTCTCTGCTCCCCAGACCCGAGCCTTGCAACAGTCGCACCGTGAGAGGCCACCTGAGCTCAGTCGACCAGGCAGCAGCTCAATGGAGAATGGCAGTATGGCTCTGCTATAGGGCCCGAACAAATCAAGGGCAGGAAGTTTCAAAGGCTTGCCAGAAGTATGCTCAACACAGAGGCACTGGCGCAGGATGACCCTGCAAATCCCTTTGCGCAACATCCAATACGCTGAAACCGGCCCATGCAATCCACAAGTCTCCACTTCCCATCTCAGGGCGACCCTGCCACCAATGCCATTTGTTTAGATCAAGCGTATGGAGCGTTTGTCTAAGAAGGACTCAATGGTCATGCTAGAAGCTGGAAAAGCCAATGCAGGGTCAGGTGCGTATCCAAGCGCAGCTCAACACTGCCCGGCCGCTGTGTTGGTGATGGTGTAACGTCCTGGGCCATGACATGCACCAGGAGCGTACTCTCATCTTGAGCGAAGCAGTTTGTACACTCAGGTAGAGCGCTGTGAATCAAAGCCCCAGATGTGTGACAAATGCTCTCAATTCATCATATCAATGGCTGGCCATCAGCTTCTTGGCTGCCATTTTCCGCTGTTTTGCAAGGAAGTGGAGCACTTTGTCCAGGCTGAGCAAACTGGGACGTCTTATCTTGTCCAACTGAACACCGCCAGGTTGCAGCAAATGGCGGTGACTCAAAACCTCCCAGGCCTCTCCGGAGACTCAGTCTCGTCTGCACTGATGCTAGTGTGTGGCACCCGCAGGATTATAGGAATTCAGGATCTGAGCTTGTCTTTGCAAGTGGTCCCTCATAAAGTTGCTTCTGAACTCCAAGGGGGAAGACCTTCCAAATTCTTAATCCCAAGATTCACGAGTTCATTGGCTGTTTGGCTCTCTGCAAAGCAAGCCCATCCCATCTAGCCTTGCTACAAAGACAGGAAATTAATCTCATCATCACCATCACCACCATGACCATCATCACCAACATCATCATCACATATCATTACCACCACCATCACGACCGCAATCACCTCCATCATCATCAGCAGCGTCATCATCGCCATGATCACCATGATCGTCAACATCGTCATCGCCATCGTCGTCATCATCGTTTTCATCATCGCCATCATCGCCATCATCATCATCATCATCATCATCATCACGCACAACGACAACGACGACATGAATCTGTCTGTCGTGAGTCGCCCGGAACTCTGTGACACCTGTTGCTGCACCGCGGCCTGCATGTACGTGCCGGCGTCGCAGCACAAGCCTTCCCAGAATTGAGGGCCCGTTGTTCTTTTAAAGTTAGCCCTCCAGATCTCTGCTGGTGTGTATCTTCTTCCGCCCTAGACGCTTCCGGTTCCACACGGGGCAACCAGGATGGGTTCAACTTGTTTCCTTAGCGACATAAACATGGCTTTCCAAGTTTCCCGAAATCGAAACCCGTCAACGCGCCCTGACATTTATGCTTGCCAGAGTGCCGGGTTGGCGCAGCATAGCGTAGCCTCAGTGAGGCGTCCGACTCCGCCTGCCACCTGACTTAGTTTCTGCCGATCCTTTCTCTGCTAGGACTAGTGGCCTGCGGGCTGGGAGTTTGTTTGTGCTGGCTCGGGCTTGCGTCAATCTGCAGCAAGGAGGTTTTAGGGTCATCACAAAGCGCTTGCAACTGCTCCTGAATGGTTCTTGCAATTGCGAAAGGGCTGCCATCCAGTCATGGTCTCACAACCACTGGCCACATCACAAATTTGACAGCGAGAATTCTTTCTCATCAAGATCAAAACCTGGTGCTCATGCAGATCCATACCGAACCTGGTGCCAAGATCCAGCTGCGAGCTTTCATACCGAGAACAGAGTCATACATCTCCCTTGCAACTTTCTGATGCCGTAAGACCGACCGTGACCGAAGTGCGTAGGCTCTTCCTCCGAGCGTCTACTCGACTCCCTTGAGCTTGACTGTTCAGACTTCTCTTTCGCTATGCTTGGGCGCACGGGTTGAGCTTCAACCCTGGACTCTCAGGATGCAGGTTTGTCTGCTTCCTCCAGAGGGGGCAACACTTCAGGCTGGTACAAACATTGCTGGGATACAGGGCCGACACTCAAAGATTTAATTTACACATCATTTAGTGGGGCTACGCCGCTTTTGCCTCCAAGTGTGGAGCATGAATGCCGCGACAGCTGCACAGTGGCATGCACAGCTGGTGGCAGGGCCAGCTGTGGGGAACTTGCTTGTCAAAGCTACGTAGAAATGCATTCCCCGGCACATGTCCACTTCAAGGACCTGCGCGACATTGTGTGACCGCATGGACCGTAAGGACAGCTTTCACAGCACGAACGGCAAGGTCCCAAGTTCTGGCCCAGAGCATGCTGCTTGGGAGCACATGCGCCCTGAACAACTGCTAGCTCCTATTGAGCCTGCAAATGTCGGGCGAGAGCTTGGCTCACAGCCTCAGTTGGATCTGCAACTGCCTCAGCTGCTGCCAGAAAACGTTGACAATGGCCCAGAGGCTGATAATGGTTGGCAATAGCCATTGAAACTCTCAATCCTCTGTATATCCGCATAGACCAATCGGAGGTTGCAACATCGTGAGCTCATGAATTCGAGGCTCAGTGATGTAAGATTGAAGTTTTGTTTCTTCATTTTTGTTGCGACTTGATTGGAGGTCTAGGGCTGAAGGTCTATGGATTCATGTGGGGCTCCACAATGCATTTTGCCCTGCGACGTCATCTCGCAGCTCTCGCAGGATAAGGAAGATCTTTTTTCAACCCGCCACTACACGCCTCGACTAGTCGCAGGGATGTGTTACTAGTGAGCATTTTGGGATGGGGCCTAGGGCTATACTACACCCGGGAGATATGCAGAATTTGAGCTTCCCGGTTTCAAGTTTAAAGCATCTAAAGATTATTGGGCTCTATAAAACCAACGAACTTCTCAGTCAGCACTTACACATGTCCGGCTGTAGCAATCTGTACGACGGGGTCGAGAGCTCAGGGTTTACGGGTATGGAGTTATTGTTCACGCTTTGGTTGTTGCTCGCTTGGTGCTTTGCGGTTCATCTTCATTGAAATCCAAACGACAGATGTTCAGTGCGATTTGCTGCAGCTGCTTTTCATTGGTCAATTTCTGAATCTGACTTCTTCCAGTGTCTCAGAATGAGAAATGCAAAGGTGAAGGACTGCTAAGATCTTGATCAACCTTCCTGGGATGTCGAGTTGCTGCCTTGAGCTTCATCAGGTAATCTTTCGTCTCGTCCGGAAGGCTAGCAATAAACGCGAAGGAGTTTCTTCGCACCTTGGCTGAAGGCTTCGCAAGCAACCGCCCTGCAGTCATGAATTCTGCGCAGGCCCTTTGCTGTTCAAGAACCATGTCGTGAGACAAATGGAAGCCAGGCGGTTTCTTTCAGCCCCGCAGCTAAGTGACAACCTCAAAGACCAACAAAGGCCTTCACTACTCATTATGGCCGCTTGAAAGCCAGTAATTACAACCAAGGGACGGCTTTCTGAGAAACAGCGCTTGATGTTCTTTGCCCCACAACAGAACGATGACATAAATCCTAACATTCCTCCCAGCAAAGACTGGGGGCGGCTTCCTCCAGCTGGACGAGAGCTGCCGTGACCCAAGCGGGGCTGTCAGGTCGAAGCCCAGCACACACGGCTGCAGCGCCTAAGCGGAAGGAAGTGGTTGGAATTGTGCGGATGCGAATTCACTGAGGATGACTTGCGCTCATACTTGCAATTTGTCGATTGCAAACACTACTTCAGTCTCTGCCGCCCGATCTAAAGAATGAAACCTCTCAAATGCAAGACACGAATTCAACCCCGGATGGCGTCAATTGCTATGTCCTTGAGACCCTGCTGACATCCCTTAGACCCTCGCTTTCGCTGCTGGCGCCTCTCAGTATCGTTCGCCGTAGGACGTCGTCCATGAATGTGAGTACGTAGGCGCTGCCCAAGGCGGCCAGCTCCTGTGAACTCATGTGGTTATCTTGGTGCAGGGAGACGCTACAAATGGGTTCATGAAGTTCACAACTCCAGGAAGCATTCCACATTACGGACGGACCGCTTAATTTCTGGGCTCTCCTCCTCTGCAAACTCTGCGGCATGACGCAAAATGAGCTCGTTCAGCATGTCTATACCTGAGCACAAAAACTCGTAGCTTCCCCGACGACTCAAACAGAACAAAATGCACCGCCACATGCAGGGTTGAAACAGAGTAGATGCCTGCTGCGCTGTCTCCGTCTGCTGCACCAGCAAGCACAACAAGAAGGAAAAGAGGGTTATGAGTCAGTTACGAGGTCCTCCTCGTACCCAAGGCGTCTTGCAACTGTTTGCTGCACCGGCGGGCCCCAGAATTCAAGCATCGACCCTTTACGGAGTCCCTTCGGTGCTTACAAACTGACAGCACAACAGAAAAAACTCCGTGCCTCTGCTACGGCTACTGCACGAGCATTGGCGGCAATCAACTGCGGTCATTCCGTCATACCCGTGTCTGCATAAAACGCCAGGATGCAGCGACGATTTGCAGCACAACTCGCGCTGCTGGCGCCACGCCTAATTATGGAGTTCAAGAGGTCGCGGTTGCCCCTGAGAATCGAGATTCAGACCTCTTTCCTCTCAATGCTAATTTCCACCACAAGCCCCTCTTCTGTCTGATCTGCAAACCTGGCCTCGCGCTCACGCCGGCTTGGTACAGGCTGCCAATGGAGCCTGGCACCAGAAGCTTCTCAAGCTGCGCATTCTGCTGCTGTACCGCAATGAAGCCCTTGGGGGTTAAGCCTTAACCGTTAAGGCCAGCGACGGGAATGGCAAATCACAAAATGTGCTAGCTGTCTCGTGGGATTGCAGAAGCCGATATGCACTGAGACTCTTTCAGCCCGCATCCTTCATCCACCCAAAGCTTGAATCAAACTGCAAGCTCCCCAAACCCCTCAACCCTGCGGGAGCCTGCCAGCGCTGCCAGGACAGAGGGAGGAAAGCTGGCACTGTCACGGCGGAGGAGGACCAGAAGCTGTGCAAGCAGCATGTCCAAATAAGTCTGCCTGAGACTCATGACAGGTAGAAAAGGGCCGGGATTAGGTGGTTGAAGTTAAAGGAACCTGCCTCTGAAGCTTCAGCCTTTCTGACTTTTGTTTCTGGATTGGAATTGTCTGCCACCCTCGCTCAAGGAATCTATGCAAATTGCCTCTAGGACATGGGGTCTTGAGCATGCGTTGCAAAGTTTCCCGCATACAGAAATGTAGAAGGCAGTGGTCTAAAGCAGTATAAAATGCCCACGCTTCTGCAGGAGCAAGCCGCTCTTGGACATCCACGACCGTCATGGCTTTCAAGCAATTCCTGACGCATGGAAATGCATTTGAAGCTCTGAAGGGTTGGTTTTTGAGGTGTGCATCTGCAGCCCTGATTTAACAGTAGTCTCCATAGCTGAACTACGCAAAATCCTACAAGCTATAGGCTATAGGTGCAGTGCCACTTGCAGCATCCATGTCCCATTTGTTGGCAAGATCTACGAAGGCCAAATGATAGCCTCGCCACGCAACATGGCTGGTACAATCTGGTACAGCAATCCCTGAGCGGCAACTTCAGAAGTGGCTGCCGCTGCTGCCCGAACCAGGACTGCCAGAAACATGCCTCAAAAGATCAAAACGATGCAATATCCGCAAGAAATCCGGCAATCTGTGCCGAAAGCCTGTAGAGCCCACAAGCATCTGCTCCAGAAAAAACCTGCACTCACAGCGCAGCGGTGCGGGCATCCTCATTACAGGGAGCCCCAGCGAAGTCATCTGCGGTGCCAGGGCTCCGATGACGGCGTCGGCGCATGCAAGCTGGTTCCTTGATCTTGACAATGTTGAGAGTTGAAACCTTTTTACGGTTCCAAAGCCGTAGAAGCATAATATACCATGCCAGTTGGGGGAACCCTTGTACTGAAAGCAGTATGTTGGTTGAGTACTAGGTCGAATGCGTGTAGAGCGCAGCAAAGAAAGCGCATCGGAACTGACAAATGTATGAAAGCCTGTGCCCTGCTTGACAGGCGTCGTCTCTGGCGGGGCGCGCTCTCCTGCCGCCAGCACCTGCAGCTAGAAGTGGTGCCAAGTTTGTCACCTAATGCCAGGGTTGGGTCGGCTATAGCCCGTGCTCAAGCAAGAGGAGGCAAATCAAGATATTCAAGTGGCACTCTGTCTCCAGTGCCCACCCCTTTCCGTCGCCAGCACCTGGACTAAGTGCCTTGGGGGCTGCATACCGATTAGACCTATGCTCTCTCCTGCAGCGTTACCTCCACGGCACGTACAAGGCTTCCCGTGCTCAGGCGGTGTGCGTTGCGGGACAGGGAGTAGCAGGCTTTTGCGTACCTGGGCTTCAGATAGAGCGTGGCCTCTTGTTTGGATTGACTTCAGGTATGAAAGCCATGAAGGCCCTTCGTATGAGTGTGGGCTGTTAGAACCGTTCCTTAGACACGGGTTATGCAAAGCATTGATGTCAGGCCTTCGTCCAAATGTCGTCAGCGCAAAATTCCGCAGAAGTCAAAGCTTCTGCGGTTGACTTGAATTGCTTTGGCCGAGCGAGCGAAGAGGTACACAAAAAGGCCAGTTATCTGGGCCAGCCCTGGATTCAGAGATCATGTGTTGGCGCATGGCCCAACATCCTCCTTTCAGCAATCACTAGCGTTTGGTTCTTTTTTGGGACATTGTGCTACAGCAGAAGGTTCTGTCGCAATCGTGTGCCTGATGAGGAAGGCAGGAGGCCGTCATCCATGTAGAAACTGAATGGGGTTCGTACAAGTATCTCTTTGACGATCATTTTTAAAGAGGCGCGGCCAGTCGGGTGCAGAATTACCTTCGTTGCAATCTTCACTGCCATCTGGGCTATTTCTGCTCAGCAACCCTGAAGGCCAGCTCAGTTACATGCCATTCACCAAGGCACCGCAGGTCTTCAAAAGAGTGCTTCGCCAGCTCCTCCACAGCCTGCGGAAAGCGACCCAATTGTGAGAAGAAATCCGCATTGACTACAGTTGACTACAGTAGGTCACAACTGATTATCAGCGATTGGTGCAGGATCCTTAGCTATTTGATATAATTTCTGGTGGCCTGCTGAGCTGGGACCGTCACCGGTTCTGGAGCCGAGCCAGGTCTTTGGGCTGCCTCCTCCTGGTTGGATGCGATGGTAATGGTTTGATGGGTCTTCAGCGAGTCTTTTGTGTTCGGGATGTGGGGATTGCGCAGTACGGCTCCTTCTGCTTCCACAGCTGTTGCATCTTGGCCTTCCGTTCATGGCGCCGGGCCTTTCGCGTGGCATCAGAGCATCTCATGTCCAAAGTCTGAACACATGCCCCGAGCACTGTGACAAAGGCATCGGCGAGCCTCGGCAACACGTAGCTCGCTGTTGGCATCATCAGCAGGACCCACAAACTTCTCTCCTGCAAGACCACGTTCCAGAAGTGCAATGCGCTCACGGCGTGTAAGTTCGCGGTGGTCTGCATCTGCCTTTCTCAGGACTTAGATCGACTTAGGCTTTGTACACGAAAGTAAAGGGGAGAGTGCAAGTATAGTACTGCAAACCTGGCGGCAATATCTGCTGGGGATGGCGGCGGTGGGTCCATAGAGCTCAGGTCGAACTGTTTCAGCCACTCCTCGCGTGCGGCCTTCAATGCGTCAGCCGCCTGGAGAGCAACCTTTGGTGCTGCAGCTAGCTCGTCGCCTTCTGCGCCCCCTTCCCGATCTGCTGCTCTGGGAGCTTCCACGGGCTCTTCAGCTTGAGCTAAGCCTTGACCAGCATCCACTGATGCCACCTCAGCCACATCCTCACCCTCACACTCGGCAGGTTCGACAGCTTCGAGACGCGGCTGCGAGTCTTCGGCGGCAGGGAAGAAGGACTCCCACACCGCATCCAGCTCAGCGTTCAACTCGGGATCCTCACTATCCTCTTCCAGGCTCGGGTCCAGCTGCAGCCCCTTGGGCTCAGCATGGTCCAAGGCTTCTTCAGGATCCAGAAAACTGTGCTGATACTCATATTTGGCCTCAACTTCTGAAGAAGCCTGCAGAGTCTGGTCGACGTCATCTGCTTCGTCCCGGCATGCTGACAAAGCCGCTTCGTCAACGTCAGGAGCCTGCGCTTGACTCTCGGAATGGCAGCCGAAAACTGCGGGTGCCGTTTCTGGCTCAGCAGCAGCATGATGCGTACCACCTTCCGCGCGCATTTCCGCAGATGATGGGCGGGCATGGCCGTGCAGCATCCGTTCCAAGGCTGCCGCAGCTTCGTTGGCTTCGGCCTCCACGTGGGAAAAGCGCCCGTCGACGGCTTGGACAGTATGTGCAGAACCGTTCCCATGCTGATCTTCACATGCCTCGGGCCTTGTTGACGGAGTCACCGGGCTATCCACTCGCAGCGTAGCCGGAATTTGTCGATAGACTTCAGCTGCTCGATCGGGGTCTGCTGTCTTAACAGACCTGGGACTGAGTCAGCAATCTTTACACGGCTGCTCTCCAGAATAACGAAGCGTATATGTGTACACCTACGTATAGATGGCACATATTGCATAATGAATATTGCATATGTTTCCTGTCTACCCATGGTTGACTATGGACACTAAGGGGTAGGTCAAGGAATTGATATTGAGGACGCCCCGATGAACTAGACTAGGTGGAAAACAGTGGGAAACGTTATCAACTCTGCCAAGCCCAACAACAACTCCTCGTCAGGCGACTGTACAAAAGTTGTAATTCTGGCGAATCCGTTTTGTTGTGGGCATGCTAATAAGACCGGCCACCACGTATCCACAATCTATACCTGCATTGATTGCTGAAAAGACTGAGGTGCTGTTTGACTTGAAGACTCGGCAAACACGGTGCCCGTGAACCGCTCTGAACATCTATGAAACCTTTTGAGCGGTCTTTGCTCTGGCATCTGAACTAGGATGACTGCAAATGTTAATATTAGCATTGTTGTTGTGACATTGTGGTCCTGTTCTCACAGTCTCATTCAGGTCATATACATCCATTTTGTGCTGCTAGTCCTTCGAGTGGCTGTAGGAGAAGATCGAGTTTCTGATTGGCATCCTTCAAAGCTTCCACATCCTCCAGCGCCTGTTTTGCGGCAGCGAGCGAAGTACAAGTGTAGGGGCAAGTTCAGGGCTGAGGGTTCAGAGCACCAGTTGAAGTTGTATGGTTGAGGATTCCTCAGTCTGCCGATTTCATGCTCTCGCGTCGTGCGGAACAAGTTTGTAACCTGATGCCCGGACACCAGCCCGCGTGAGGTCTTACAAGAAGCGCAGAAACCTTATCCAAGCAAGCTCCCTGGAACAAACCTTCCAGACCCTTTGTCGAACACACGGTGTACTTATGGCGTGGACAAGCCCCGTGCCCGCCTCCTTCAGCCGCCGGTCCAGTTCAGTGCTCATCCATGGCAAAGCGTGGCAACGATCAGAGAACGTGCTGGGATGCTGCGGCAAAAGTATGCAGGCTGCGAAGGTGAAGCTCGATTCACTAGATTGCGTGCACATGAGACACGAACCAGCCACACCGGGACCCCGTTATAAACAATGCGTTCAGGCTGCGAAACGAACATCACACCCCCCCCCAATAGTCCCAGTGCGAAAAGCAGGCATCCTCACTTGCTGTCCACGTCACTGGTTCCACGCAGCAGCCACCAGCACCAATGGCGGACCCTCCTGTGGCTATGGGCTGCTGGAAATCTCGGAACGCATCTTTTTCTCCAGGCATGGGGGTCCACCAATGATTTTTGTATTCATCTTCGAATTGAGATTGCAAAACACATCCTCAAGCCTTGCACTCAAGGAAGGCAGATTTACAGTCTCCTGCGACCATTGCCACACAATCAGAAGGAGCCGGCTTAAAAGCAAACAACCCAGCAGGATCCTCTGAAGGACTGTCCTCCGCCTTCGCATGCTGTGAGGACATCGGCTGCAGAACGAGGAGCTGACCGTGCTGGCAGACCTCTCGCTGAAGGTCGAAGGGTATGTGTGCGCAATCCCTGTGGCAACTTGGCCATGGGAGAAACATGCTTGCTAGAAAATGCAAAGCGGCACAATTCTGCCAGCCAGAACAACACCAACCTAGCCTCCACCCTCCAGTGCCTACAGCAGTCAGGTCGTGAGTCTGAAGCTCAAAAACTGGGCACTCAGTCATCTCTGCACCGTCTCTAATACTGTAGCAGCAAAGAGTGAAGGGGGTCCTGAATCGTAGGAAAACCTATCATCATCTCCAGAACAAGCCGGACGCTCTAAGCCGCGGCTCTTTCTGAAAGACTCACGCTGCAAGCATAAGAAATTCACACATTCAGCATTTCTGTCGATGGACATGCTTCAGCCAGTGCAGTAAATAGCAGGTACAACTCGTCATGGTTAACCTGTGTGCAAAAGCGAGCATGACATTGGCAACTAATCTGCCAACTCCGGATGCATGGCCCTGCCTGCCAGTACGCTGCACGCACGGCCAGCGGCGATGCATCTCCTTCCGCTGCGGCTTGGCCTCTCCCACCCCCTTCGTTTCGGTTGGCAAGCAGTCATGAAGCATCTGCAAGCCTTCGCAAGGGTCGCGCACAGGCTGGACACCCCCAGGGTTGAAAATCTTGTAAGTGTCGTCGCTTTTTGGAAGCTCGCGCTTTAGCAGTGACAGGGATCGTGCGCCTGGGGTCGCCATCCTCGCAACTGTCGTCGCTTCGGACGCCCGACTCTCTTGTCCAATAAGCGGTGTCGGAGTGACTGCCAAAGACTGTTCGCAACTGGCATTGAAAGCCTTACGCAATCAAGGAAAGCTTTGTCTGAGAATGATGTTTTGGCTGTTCTCCTTGCTTAGCAGTTCCTCTGACACCAGCTGCGTTTAGCTTGGGTGCGAGTTGTTGGTACGCTGTTACAGCACTGGACGGATGATTTTTCCGCTTTTCCTTCGTCGAAAGGAATTTGCAGAAGATTTAATCGCCACTATAGATGAGTCTGTAGGTCTAAGCCTGCGGAAACGTCGCTCAACGCTTCCGCGTGCTTTGATTGGAACAATTTTGTGGGCTTGCTGTTCATATCAGCCTCTGTGTTGTGTTTCCAAGGGTCCTGAAAAGATGAAAGGCCCCCGACATGAGCTCTAGCCTTCATCATTGAAACCACATCACATCTACCCTGAATAGCTTCACAAACAGCATGCCACAAATCTGCATTGTCAAGCTTGCTAACAAGACTCGGATTGAAACTGTGGCGCTTCAACCAGCCACAAGTGTTGACAACATACGTGCAGTCCGAAACTATGCACAAGTTACCCTTTGAAAGGACAGAGATAATGACCAACACTTTGAGAAAAGAGGCAATCACGCACTCTGCCAAGTGCTGACAACACTCCAAACTATCCCGTATGCTGCGTGCTGAGGGGCCAATCTGCAGATGCTGCTTGGGCTGGCAGGTCCAGTGGTAAAGCGGGGGAAGCCAAGGAAGAACCTCGGTATAAAATATATTACAAATATGAAGATGCAAGGCCCATCATTGCATGGCAATAGCTGTCGACACGCTCCAGCGAGTGTCTACCGCCTGAAATTTTCTGCAAGTGCAAGGCAATCAACAAAATGAGAGCCATATAGAGGTCCGCGGTTTGAGGTGAAGTTTGCTTCGCGATGCCTGGGCATACAAGTCTAAGACTCTAAGACACTAGGACACGAGGACACGAGGACTTGTCACTACTTGGGCTAGGCCTCGTCAACGGACGAGAACCTAAAGTGCTTCCCTCTGAGAACCCCGGCCGGCTGGCGCCCAAGAAGTGGGGCATGTCCCAACCGCCGGCCAGCAGTGAGGGCTGGAAGGCGCCTGGCAGGCAGCAAGCCAAACCCCTGTCCTGCACAAAGTAGGTGAATAGTCAGAGTTGTGCAAGTTTATTCAGGAATTTCTGACTCATAGGAACCTGTGGAACGCAGTCACCCATAATAGCCCAGCCTGCGGCGATGCTGATCTTCAACAGTACGCTGAATTAATTTGACATCCATTCCTACCCGCAGCAAGAGTACTGTGGATGAAGTTCCCGGACGCACCCGCCTCCTCAAGCAAGGGATGTCACCTGGTTTGGGCCACCCCCCCAACATGTTCTCACACAACTGGAAAAAGTGTATGCTTGCGCGTGCAAAAAATGCGCTGCCGCGGCCTCATTCTCGCTGAGAGGGTGGCATCTTTTTTTGTTATGTGCTATGCGACTATGTGTGTAGGGCCACAACATTAGTTGCACATTCTTTTGCAACTTCGGCTGCAAGCTCATTGGCTGAACTACAAGTGCTGTATCTGGCTACGATCCCAAGAGCAAATCCCACTTGATGAATGTTGGGCCCAAAGTCCTAGACACAGGGCAGCCAAATGGACGGAACGCTAGGCAGAATAGAGCTCGACGCGCAAGAACCCTGCATGCCAGGATGCAGTAGCAGAACCCAATTGCGCACTGAAGCTCTTAGACGCGCGTGTTGCAAGAGCTTGCCCTGACGATGATATGGTTCACCAGTTGTTCCGAAATCCCTGGAAGGATGAGGACGGCATCTTGGAGGAAGCCAAGCAGCAAAGCACGCGAGCAGGGTCCGCCAACAGCTCCACAGAACTCCTCACATGCGCAGCTTGGAGGTCGGAAACCCCTGCGTTTCTGCAAGAAACCGGATGTCCATCACAATGCTGAGTGGTATCAAGCACCTGTACCCAGCCACCGAGGGGAGACTCATGTGTGCCCAAGGCAAACACAACGCCTAAAACACAACACAATCAGCAACAAGAATGGTCCCCTGCTCCCAGTTGAAAGAATACACATGGCAGGGAAGGACATCTATGAAGATTCCAGATTCTTAGATGCACGCTGCACCGCTCTCAACCAAGCCTGATGCCGATGCCCATCGCCATTCCAGCAAGACAAACCAGTACAAGGGGAAGCAGCGTCAAAGCTGACCTTACGAAGAGGCACTCTCTCTCTCAGACCTGCAGGTGGAGGGCGTTCCAGCTATCTGAGGCTAAGGTTGAAGCGGTTGAAGCCTTCTGGCAGCTTTATCTTAAATTAAAGATCAGTCTGCGCACCCATCGAATCATACAGCCCCATGTAGCAGAAAGACGTAAGATCGAGACAAGCCTGAAAACGGCTACGGGCTGCCTAGGGGGCTTCACCAAACTGAAAACGAAAATTAAAAGCAGCACCCACAGTAGCCCTTCAGGCCCTTCTCGGGATTCTTGGGTCA